ATGATTCTGATCGGAAACGGAAAGCTACAGCCTAAATATTACTATCCTAAATAAGGATATTTTATTATATTGTTTATTAATTATTTATTATACTGTTAGTAATACGGCAAAGGTTGAACTAATATTTGACAGAAATATAGTTATTATAATAATATTATATATATTTATAATTTGGATCATAAACGTTTTTCTTAATTTTTAAGTTAACATTAACGTAGAACATTTTTCCACAATATATTCATCTTATAAATAGCTTACAATTTATTAATCCAAATATTTTAAATAGCATGACATTTATTGTGTTAATAAATAATAATATACTTAAACATTAAACGTAATGTTAAATAAATAATAATAGTTTCAAGGGCTGTACGACACATGGGCGGGGGACAATTGGGCGCGGAAAATTGGGTGCCAAACAATTGGGCGCCGTACATTTGGGCGCAAGAACATTTATTTACTAATTCAAATTATAATAATACTAATATGAAATATCTTCTTAAGATTACACAATTTTTAATCAATATTTTTTTTTTTTTAAGTACACAAATATTTGATTAGATATATTAATGCTGTTATATTAATTAAAAAGTAAATACTGTAAGCACAGTTTTGTCTTACAAAAAATAAAAATAAGAAAAAATCATAAAATCATACTTAAACATTTAGACATTATTAATACATTTATTTTATTATGATAGATTAAGAGCAATGCCTGTTAAAAACGCTTGCCAAGTCAGGAACGGCATGTAAACTTTCTAGATTTTTAATTTTTAGAGTGGATTTCGTTGTTTGTGATCTTGTTAGATTCACATTGGTGAGGAGAAGTGCAGTGAAGATTTTCAGAACTTTATCTTTAATAGTTAATTCACTACAGAACATTAAAAAAAATTAAAATAAATTTTATTGGGAGTTTTTGGATGTTTTTCAGCTTTATAGCTTTGTAGTGAATTAACGATTGGAGGTTAAGTTCTGAAAATCTTCACTGTACTTCTCCTAGCCAATGTGAATCTAACAAGACCCCAAACAACAAAATCCGTTCTCCAGTTTCGGAAATCTACCTCGCTAAATGAAAATCTAGCAAAAAATAAAAATTTTTATCTGTGAAAATTTAAATAATTTTTTAAAAAAAAATTTAATTTTACATTTAGAATCTACTTTATAATCCCTTTTTAATGAGTTATCAACCAACTTTCCAGCTATCATAATTTAGGAGAAAAGTTAAAAAATAGAAACTTTGAGACTGTTCACGCCGACGTTTTTATGGATTCAAGTGGTTATACTGCTTGGGTGTGATATCAAATGTCTCTCATTAATATTTTATATTAAAGCTAGCTAAATTACTCACCTACTCATCATTACTGAGTTCCATTTTTATTATTTTACTATTTAACACAAATTCTTGAAGTTTTCAAAATTCAGACTTTTTTCATTTAAATTTAAAAAATCAAGAAAGTAAAATCGTTTATATTGCGGTTTTCAAAATCATTACAGATTGCTTTGATTCTAGAAGCTGTGTCTTTATATTTTTTAAGTTTACATCTTGGTTCCATTCCAGCCAAAAATTGATGCATTTTTAAACGATTAATTTAATTAATGATAAATTAACATTTTTTACTATTATTTTCAATACAGCGACAAATTGTTTTTTCATTATTTGTGCGTTCTAATTTGTATAAATAGCCTTTAAAAATAAGCAGGTCTCTTTTCTTTTCGCTTTTTACGAATTCACACATTTCAAAAAGAAATATTTCATAAAATACAATTTATGTAGCACAGCGCATGGACGTGATATACTTAATAGGTATTAAAACTATCGTATCATTGTTAGATTATAAATTCTTGTCTATAGTTCTTGTCTATATTATAACTGAACTACTTATTAAACCTGATAATTGGGGATTTTGGCTATAAAAATAAATATATAAGCATAATAGAATGCTGGTTATCCCAACGCCAATCAACCGGACGTTCACAAAAAATAAAGGTCTAATAATTATTTTTATTGCATTGAACAACTATGAAAGTATGAACCACGCTAATAATAATAATCTACTGTACAATAAAGTAACCTATACATCAACGTGTAAAAATATATATGTATATACATATACTACAATAAAATCTAGAATTTATTTCATCTATTAATTAATATTAGTAAACGTTTTACGTTAATTTAAAAAAAGTATTGGTATTCACTCCCGCGCCCAATTTTCTGCGCCCACGTGTAGGCATACCGTTTCAAGACCTAACGAATTTTTTTTTTATTTACAACAAAATAACTAAGGGCCGATTTCACCAACACAGTTAATCACGATTAAAGTTAACCGGAGTTTTAATCGGCCGAAATTGGCAGGTTAAATATCTGTTATCAGCCGATTAAGCGTTAACCGTGATTAACTGTGTGAAATCGGGTGAAAACTGGTGAAATCGGCCCTAAGATCATTATTTTTCGTTTAAATATAAATTTCGTTCCAATTCTATCTTCAAATATTTATTAAGAACATGACGCAGGTAAGTACTACGTTCGCACAATATAACAAAAATGGGGACTGTTTTTTCAATATTTCTTAGATTTTGATCGTAGCGATGAATGTATTGATTTTACAACGATAGTTGCGGATGTGTGCTTTGTTTCTGAAAACAAGTTTAACATGGATATGTTTTTAGGCTGTTATGTAACAATTGTAACAAGTTATTTTTTTTAACCGATTTTTGCGAGGCCGGTTTTCATGACTCTTTGTCTATTGCCATAGATAGGCAAATCTACAAAAAAGAAAAAATCTAAATACCTAACAAAACTTAGCCTGTTACTTTATAAGTAGCATGCTACTAGATATTTTTTCCACTTCACTATACCCAAAAACATATCAATACTATCTAAATTGTCCATGCAGATGAAAAATATCTAGTAGCATGCTACTTATAAAGTTACAGGCCAAGTTTAGAGCCTCATTTAGAGTACCGAACATATTTAAATTATATAAATTATAAGCGAGTACACATGTTAAGAAATAATTAATTAATAAAGTAGTATAATTAAATTAGTGGTGTAAGCATCATTTTATAGTCAACGATAAAGACAATAAGATTGTAATTATAAATAATAATAGGAAGTAAAAATTCAGATATTGAATTAGCTTTAAAAATTATGTCTTTTTTTTAAAAAAAAAAAAGCAACGGGAACTGTCGTATATTGTAGACATTCCCTAATATAATTGTATTTCTAGTAGAACAATAGAGCTGATCATAAAATTCAATGAATGGTTTTCGTAAAAAATTGGATCTAAGGGGTTTTTGGGGGGCTAAAATTGAAAATATTCAGTTCTTTTTAAAATAATCGTGAAAATTAAAAAAATAAACACAAACATTTTTTTAAAATTTTAATATTGTTATTAAAGTATTTGGTAACCTTGGTTACCAAAAAGTTAGACTGCCTTCGCTTAGATTGCCTTTTGATTTAGGTTTTTAAGTTTTTTTCTAAAATATCAAATAAAATCATTCATTCGGTAAAAAAGCTTAAAAATGTAATTTAATGTTTCTAATTAGTCGTTATTATATCTATTTAGAATATTCATGATAAGCTTGGTTTTTTTTTAAAGCATTTAAAGTAAAATTTTAATTTGTCAAAGTAGTTCATACTGTAATCAAAAAATCACTAATTATTGTATGATAGGCAGTGGCAGAATTACGTTTATTGATGATCGTAGGAACAATTTTTTTGTGAGGCATGGTTATACCTGTAACCCAATTTACTAAACATTGGATTGTTAATTAATCAGTACTGGATCTAGCGGGGGGGGGGGGGCGATCATCATAGATGGGCGCAAATTTGAAATTTTAAACTCATAAGCATATAGCATAAGGGCGCTAATATTATGTTGTGCCCCAGGTTACATAATTTGTAGATCCGGTATTGGTTAATTTGTATAAGTACAATAAAAATAAATATGCATATTAAATTAATAATTTATTGAATTATAATAACAATAATTATAATTTATAATCTTCTAATACACCTATATAAAAATGAATGTTCGTTTGATTGTTCATCTTCTATGGACTCAACAACTAATGATCCGTTTTCAATAAAAGTTTGATTCATTGAGTGGGAGTTTTATAGTATTATTAATATGGTTGAGGTTTATATACCTACTACAAAAATACTCTATCAATTTTGAAAAAAAACAAATAATAATGTAACGGAAGTGAAATATATATCTCATATTTGTTATAATAGATAGTTGGCTAATACAAATATTATTAGTCGGGTTGTATCTAAATAACGCGTATACAAAACCACAGTTTTTAATGAAATAGCACCATAGTTGTTTGCACACATAGTATTATTATTTGGGATCCCGGACTGGTCTTAAGAGTATTAGAATATAGAAGCCACGGGTAACAGCTAAATAGTACCGGATCTAGGAAATTGGACCCTCGGGGAGGTTATTGCTTGTCGAGTTTTTTCGTCGGTTCTCTCGTTTCCCGTGATTTGACTGTGACTGGGAATCCATATCAAGATGATAGAGTAGCCGGAATTCGTGATGTCATGATTATTATTTTCTGGACGATAATGCCACATGTATTGCTAATGTAATCTTTTCTCTCTTTTCTCGGAGAAAAGGCACCAATTGGTCTATAATAATATAAAATATTGTCTGATATTAATTTTTTCATTTAGAGGTTCCCAAAATCTAAAAACCAATTATTGTTATAGTAGGTACCTAACTATTCGGGCTCGATGAATTTGATCTGATTCATATTAAGCGTAGGAAATATGCATTTTACAATATTTTGCAATATACACTAATTAATATTAAAGCTAAATTATGTAACTAAAATAAATAATTCATCGTGACAACACCATGAATGTTATACTCGTGACATTGTAACTACGTTATATTACCTATACTTATATATAATGTTTCAAATGCACTCACTTCCAATATTACTGTAGTACCTAACCATAAGGGACTGCATTTGACAAGACAGTTATAATGGACGACTCAGCAGAAATGTCAGTTTGCGACGGTACTTCACCCGACTCTCGACCGATCCAAAAACAACCTCATCAACCGATTGTTTGGCGCAATGTTATACTGTGCTCGTTGGTCCATTTGGGTGCACTATATGGAGTCTATTTGGCGTTTACTTCTGCGAAAATCACTACGACTCTTTTCGGTACGTTTACCCGTCAATAATTATAATGTATAATTAATTAACTAAACATTTATTCTAAAATATATTATAATATTATATGACATTTTTAAAATTCATTGTTCTTGAATTTAGCCATCTGTCTGTATCAAATTACTACAATTGGTGTTACCGCTGGATCGCATAGACTTTGGTCACATCGGGCGTACAAAGCGAAATGGCAATTACGTGTCCTTATTATTATTCTCAATACAATAGCGTTTCAGGTATTTTTGTTATTTTATATTTTATTTAATTGCATTTATTCTTCATTGTTTTGATAAGAATTTATTTATAATATAATGGATCATTGTGTATAATAATAATTAATATGACGTACCTATGCAACAAAATGCACCATTGTCCATTACTGATAAAACGAGTGGCCCACCGTGGCGGGTTCGTTGCAATTTTTTCGTCCAGTATATAATTTCTTTGAGTGGATACTATAGATCAAAGGTCGAGACCAATAAACCATGGTTCTCTATAGTTTTAACCTCGTAATTTCATCAACGTTATATTTTCCATTCGCTCGTACAAATCAAAAAATTACCCCTTCATCAAGTCTCAGCATTATACTCGTGACTATCGATCAATCGATATAATAGTCTATATACAGGGCAATAGTACAATACTGTCGGAGCATTAGTGCTTCTATCCGGGGAATGTAATGGTAAATAGAAAATACATCTTTTTTTTTTCCGTGTTTGAACCGACGGCGCCGCGGGGACTGCTTTCGTAATACTTCCGCGGCGCCACCATCATTTATTTGTAAAACAAATAATTATACATATGTGAGGGGGTAAATAGAAAATACACCTAACACACGTAGATCATACATTACGATCCCATGAGTACTGGAAAAATGACGAAATTCCATTATTCCAACATACCCATCTACGTATATAATACTACAACTATAATACAGTATACATCGGGCTTAACTGGTCACGCGTCTTACAGAATTCGGTTTACGAATGGGCCCGCGATCATAGGCTACACCACAAGTACACAGATACGAATGCCGATCCGCACAACTCAAATAGAGGGCTGTTTTTCTCCCACGTTGGTTGGCTACTGTGCCGGAAACACCCGGACGTCATCGAGAAGGGTCGAACCATCGACACCAGTGATTTGTTGGCCGATCCGATCGTGGCGTTCCAAAAAAAGTAACCATAGTCTATTTTATCGAAGTAAACGTAATAACTACCTTTGTGTAATAATAAACTGCAACGGAGTAGAGGCGGGAATTTATGGATTCACGTGTGTTTTGTTACTTGTATACTATATTATATCATAGAAGCTGCAATATTATAAGGCCTGTCAAATAATTGTTGAAATGTTAAGCATATTACACTAGGTACCGGTGGTACAGTATATTATATAAAAGGGCAACTTTTGTTTGAGATAGGATCAATAGGTCACCAATAAAGTAGGTACATTACCTACTGATATATGAGTATTATAATAATTTTATATAACAAATGTAATGTTGGCAATTATTTAATTTTTTTTTAGATTCTTAGCGGAGCGAGCAAGCTAATGGTTTTACAATGGTGTTTATTTTTTTTTAAACATATATACAAAATTTCTACCAGAAGGAGTTCTTTGATTTCAACATATAGTACCTATCTTATATTTTGGAAAATTGGATCAAGAGAAATCATTTTTCAATTTTCTCAATAGTTATGTCACTGGAAAAACCACCTACAAATTACGACTAACTGCTAAAAACGGGATTTTATTTTTTATGCTTTGTTTATCACCATAGAAACGAATAAAAAATTATAATATTAATTCAACTTATACAGGCTATAATAAATAATAACAATTTAAAATATCCAGACTGACAAACCGTCTCCGCTCAGAATCGTTTTTCGTATACAATGATATTATATCACTGAATTCAAGTTTAATACATTGACACATTGACCCAGTTGTAACTTACTGTACTGAAGTACAGCAGAGCAACATCCACTTACCCGCTTTATTTATATTATATGAAAATATATAAAATGTATACAACAAATCACAATATATATATAATATGCACTATATATCTATCGGGTTTGTCGCAAATTGTATAATGTTATTCTATTTAGCACACAGTTTATACAACGACTTTTAGAAAAAGGTTAGTTTTTCCGCAGCTTACATAATTACATACATCCGAATTGCACCCAGGTTCAAAAAAGGGGTTTTAACGAATATGTTATAAATTTGGCATGAATATTAAACCTAATTCATTGCACTCTTCACAAATTATTTCAAACATGTTTTTATATGTGTCTACGGTTGTATTTGTAATAATACTAGGTATGTCATATTTAACTTTCTTATATGCAATTTTTTGAAAAATAATTAATTTGAAGTATAATATATATTATTATGCATACGTGATACTTCATACATATAAAGTTAAAAAATATAATTACATATTAATTAGTATGCCAACGATTATATTTTAAGCAGGAAGCGAAGTTAGTGTTTTTAAAATGTTTAAATTAAGTTTAATTTTTGAAATTGTTCTTTTTGAACCAGAGTGCAGTAAGACCGTTACCTTTTTTTAACCCATTTAAAGTTCGACTATACGTACCTTTTTAATTTACATAAAAAGGACAATTTCACTATCTCGGTTGTTGGGGTTGTGAGATTAAGGAGTCACCCATTAGTAACACTTAGCTTGGGAATCACGTTTAAGGATTGCGTCAGACAATTTATTTAAAAAAAAAAATTTATAAATACACTTTATTGCAAGTTTTAGAATATTAAACAAATATATAATGTATCAACGTTATGACGTATAACTAGTAGCACATTATATTTACAGTTTTGTTGATTATAATACGTTCGTATAAATGTATAATGACTTAATCTCATTGGTAATCATTCCAAAGGAAACGTGGTTAAAATAATGTAGATACCAGGTCATCCATCAATCGAAAGCATCGAAAAAGCCGAAATTCACTCCAAGAACACAGCCTCCTCAACTTCATGAGACATCACTCCTCACCACTTTTCAAGATCATAGACGTAAATAGAGGGGGGCTTAGCAGGGCTTGCCCTCCCTGATGTATCTAAAGTCCTCCTTAAGATATGCTAATATATTGATAATCTTTATTTTTTATATTATAATAAATTATAAACATAGAAATAGTTATCTAACAAAATAGATAACAAACATATTATAAACAAGTTTGATGAGAAGCAAAGAACGATGCAATTATAATATAATAATATACAATATGCATTTTATATTACTGTATACAACTTTAAATGTATACAATGGTATATATAAATTTACATTTACTTTGTCATAGTTTTGAATCGTATATTCGTATCATCGATAAAATTATATAATAACTAGCTGACCCCGTGCAATTCGTAACGTACCAACTCTATATAATCCAAACTTTGTTCAATTCGTTATTTAATATTTGGCGGATGGCGTTCAAAACGTAGGTATCTTAACTTTTTCGTTCCCACTCTTTTTGTTCTTGAAACCTTTTGGGCTCAAGCCCTATGAATTTGAGGACCCTATTTACGTCCATGCAATCAAGATATCATAAGAACATTACAACTTATATCAATACAAGCTTGAAAAAATATGTGGGCAAAACTCAATGAAATAATAACAACTATAATATATTCTTCACTGGCCTAACAATCACTCTGATAGGAAAGAGGAAACTATCATCAATAAGTTAAGAATAGGTCACACCAGAGTCCAGAATAACCCATGGTTACCTAATATCCCGGGAGAAGCCCGTCATGTCTTGCTGGATGAAACTCACAATAAAACACATTCCTACCGAATGTGATGCATACCTCGAAGCAAGGAACCGCAATAAATTATTATTATTTATTTATTGGAAACAAGAATACTAACGACATACTTGGACCGATTCTTCCAATACCAAGCACATTCGTTTTCCTTTTTACTAACTTAATCATTAGAATAATACTATCTTAAAGTTTAAGCTCATATTACCATATTCATTTGTTGTTATACACCTAAATATTTTATTATTGCGTAATTTTTTTTTTAAATTATATATTCCAAAAAAAAAATGTTCTTTCCCAATGGCCACGATGCCAAAAGCTATGCCACAAAAAAATAAAATAAATAAATACGTTTGTATAGCTATTAATTACGATTTAGTTTACATAAATCATAAAAAATGTTTCTCTGTCGGAAAATACCACCAATATAAGTTATAAGACATAATATATCTAATAATAATTATAATAAACGCGCAGTGCACGTGTTGGCATTTTAATACTATATATTATATAATATGATATTTAGTGTACTAGTTATTACTTATTCGATATTTGCATTTACAGTGATTTATTTCATCGATAATTTAAATTGCAAATTAAATGATATTTGCTTTTTTTAAATGCGCAGATATTTCTGGTTCCTGATAACTTGGGCGTGTTTCATTATACCAACACTTATACCGGTGTACTTTTGGAGCGAAACATGGAGCAATTCTTGGTACGTGGCTGTTTTGTTGCGGTACGCGCTCACACTTAACGGAATTTGGTTGATCAACAGCGCCGCACACGCGTGGGGAGCAAAACCATACGATAGGTAACGAAGAATTTATATAATAATCGATAGCAGGAAGGTTTAAAACTAACGACTAATGACTATAATGAGTATAAGTGAAGCTTTAAAATTATAACAATAAAGGTGTAAAACTGACGGTAAAACAATACAAAATTACGTAAATGCTAAAAGTAGTAAGAACTAATCGTCAGTCGTATTTATCGCATATCTTTTAGTAATTTGTTTATTATTTTTAATAATTTAAAATGTCAAAAAAAAAATACTTAATTGGTTTAATGAATAGAAAATTAAATTAGGATAGACGAGATTTAGAAACAAAAAAATTACATGGTAGTTTAGAACTAGTTTATCTACTATATAGCGCACAATCGAAATGTTTGTAAAAGCTGATTAGCTGAAATCAAATTTAACTTAAAACATTACACTTAAAAACTTTTGCTTTGATGTATAAGTGTAATAATCAAAAATACTAATTTAAAAAAAAAAAATACGTTTGCTTTTTAATTTGTGTACTTACTTGAATAAATATTAAACATTAATTATAGACGCATTGAAAGTGTAAAGTGTTCTTGCATATTAAATAATCAATTTTTTAACAATACAATTTTCTTCTATGATCTAATTTCTCATGTATACCTATGCAACTAATTACAAATACATAATACATAATACAATAGGCATACATTTTATTTTATAATTGAAGAAAGTATAGAGATGGACAATTCGGGGCCCAAAATTGAAAATTGTACTGGACCCATAAATTGGTAAATCATGCCCTAGGTACGCGTAAGAACAATAATAGGTAACTAATATAAATATCGGGGGACGGAGTGTCCGAGCGGACTAAGTGCCCGTATTACAATCGTTAAACTAAAGTTTGGATCCCAGCCACGGGCGGCCATTTTCTTCGGGCAGTCACGGTGTCCGGAGAGAGAGGCTTACATCCCCCACCCGAGCATGACAGATACCTCCGGTACCCAATAGAAAATTCTACCAAACACAAGAACGTGTTCCTCCAACCTTTTCCCACCCTACCAAAAACCCTACAGTTACCATCCTACAGGTAATGGCTTCAGTTGCCGGGCTTATATAAGATCAATGAAAAAATAATAATATCAATACACATATAACAATAATACCTACATAATAGTATTTTTAAAGTTGAAACAATCTTATTTTTATATAAAAATATATTATGTGTTAATGTATAATGTAATATTACGACGGAATAAAGAATATTAAAAAAAAATTGTACGAACCCATAGAAGGTGCAGATATGTGCAGACGTTTAGACCGTTCAGTTATTCGACTCGACGTCGAAGTTTTCTGACTTCTGAGTCCATCAACCTCTTGGCTCTTACCATATCAGTTTATCACTATATAATATGTAATCACACCTGTTTCTAATAACATGTTTTTCGTTTATGTTGGGTTTTTTTTTTGCGCAGGTCCATCAACGCGGCGGAGAACCTTGCTGTGGCTATAATGTCGGTGGGCGAGGGTTGGCACAACTACCACCACGTGTTCCCATGGGATTACAAGGCGGCGGAATTGGGAAATTACAAGTTCAACTTCACTACCGCGTTCATTGACCTGTTCACAAAAGTCGGGTGGGCTTACGACCTGAAAACCACGTCGCCGGAGTTCGTGTACAGACGAGCTTCGCGTACCGGCCTGATCGAGTCCCAGGATGACTCTGTGCCATTGCCGTGGGGCTGGAACGATCGAGACTTACCGCAGTCGGACCGCGTGGAGGCCACGATCGTAAACAGGAAGCAAGGTTGATCAATATAAACATTTTATTCTGTGATATAAATTATTATTACTGTTGTTCGTATACCTTCCTACTAAATATTATAATGCGTATTATAGCTGTAAGTCTTACACTCTGTGAATTCACACCAAAAAATACCTAAAAAATGTATGAACGTATAATACTATAATAATATACTCGATGCGCATATTAAGATTTAAAAGTTAACTTATTTTACGATTGTAAATATGTATCGTATCAAATAAATCGTATAGCGAAGCCGAAAATATTTCAACATTTTATTATATTATAATTTATAACTATATAACATAATTATACACCACACATGACACATCGGTCTATATTTACATAACAGTATAATAAACTTAAAATTTTTCAAAATTTTGTTTGTTTATTGAGAAGTAAACGTTTGTCGCCAATCAAATAATCAAAAATATATGTATAGGTGTGTCTACTGCAAATACTGCTGAAAAAAAATGTAATCAACGATTGAATCTATTATTTACAAGCATAGAGATATTTTACTCCAATATAAGAAATTTAGATATACCTAAGTGACGCCTAACACCTACTGCTGATATGATTTAAAACTACTTACCTATATTAAAACTAAATTATTCTTACTTTTTTTTCATTATAGTTTATTCAATACCCGTGGTAAAGGCGTCACTATAAATATTTCGTAATTGGATTAACTTACTATATTAGTAGTAAGTAGTAACAGGCTTTAGACACAGTTGTTTTTGCCAAATCGTGTGACTTTAAACACGGAAAAATTAGCTGTTATATAGCCGTATTATTATTCGCACGGACGTAGGTATAAGTCAATGTTATTAATTAATTAAATAACATAATGATACTACCACAGAATAATATATTATTTGATGCTCATATTGAAACAAAAAATTAATTATACTTGTAAGTATTTACTGTAGTAAGAAAAGATTATAATACTACCAATTAAGTGTTTCCATTTGTGTTATTTTGTAGTAAAAAGGGATACACATGTCCAACATTCTAATATATCAGATTATGGATACGGTTCCAACTTTAAGAGTTCAATACTTCATGACCTAAGAATACAGTATCCCAATCAACTGAGTAAGTGTCGTTTCTATATTGTTCAGTGGTAATAACCACAATTATAACACACAAGATAGCTCAGTAATACTAGATGTTTTTTTGAATATCATTAAATACCTAGTATTATTATAGAGATATTTTCAAAATCCGACGGTATTTCAACGATTTTGTTGGGCTAAGATATATTTTGAGCAATTGATTATGATTAGGGCCCGGAATTATTGAACTAAATACGTAAGAAATATGCATGCATTTATGTTCTGATTATCATTAAAATAAGCACTTAAATTAGTATTTTCTATACACCATAAAACTTTCAAAATATTTTGACTAGTTTGGAGCTGTTATATTATAATAATATATTAATATATTTTTCTGTCTTGTAGGAACTCGCATAGGCCTACGCATCTCTTTTTACTATCTAGCTATATAGGAACTTACTCAATTAACACACATCTCATATTATGTAGGAATTAACGTATGTATTTTTTTTACCTGCTAGGTACTGTCTTGAAGAAACTTACAATTCCCTGCATTTAAAATCATGCGTAATCGTGACATCGTGTATGATAAATGTTGTATATATAAATTAGTTAAAATTACATTTGCGGAATTGTACTCCACGTCTCCACAACAGATAACAAATTAATGTAATCTGTGTCTCCACTACGGTATTAGAAGATATATTCCAAGGGGCATCCCCGAGTGCTTCCCGTTAATCATATCATACCTAATTAATAGCTCAATTGGGGGACGAGGTGGCCGAGCGGTCTAACGCGTCGGCAGCGGCGCTTCCGGTCGCGGTTTCGATTCTCGACCACCAGGCGGCATTTTTCTCCGGGCAAGTCACGGTGTCCGGAAAACAAGTGCCGCCATCCCCCACTCCGGAGCATGGCAGAAACCTACGGGTGCCCCATTCGAAATTCTGCCAAAAAATACACCCACGTGTAACACACCTACCGTTCCAAAACCTACAGTACCAACCCCCCTCCCAATGGCCTAAGTTGCCGCGGGATAATTAATAAATAAAAAAAAAAAAAGCTCAATTGCGTCTGCGATAAAATCCTTAATAATTTTGGTATATCCCATATTCCCATGTGCGTCCCCGATATTATTGCTAACAATATTCATCTTTATGGATAAAATGCATTGATAACTTATAATATTACACTGTGTTAGTTTGCATTTACACTATTGGAATATCTTGGCAATCAGATGATTGCTCAAATACTAACGTTGCAGGTAGCAAGATCGTAATGATGATAAAGATAAAGGTGTTGTTGAAATAAACATAGACAAATGCAATATAATTTGGTTTATACGACACTACGTATAGTATATTTGATATACTTTACGACACGATTGTCAGTAAAATTGTAAAGTATATCTGAAGATCTAGCCATTACATATTCTACATTAAATTACTTCAATTGTATACTTATATTTCAGCTACAAGTCATATGTTTAAGAACTCCCAATTTTTAACCGAGAAGAGACAGCTACTAAGCACTTGAGTCGCAACGCAAGTTAACTGGTTAAAACTGTAAAGTGATAATGAGCCAATGAATATCTATATTTAAAAGGGCCACTACTTAAATTATTTATGACCGATTGAGGGTGGGCTGTATAGCCCTGAAACTGAGCTAGGCCTCAGCTCCAGTAACTTTAGGAAAATGTAAAACAAAATTGTATTGTTTTTACATTATCGTCGTATCGTATTGTAATGCATGAGTTTTTACTGCAGCAGTGTGGGGCACGATCCGATACATATGATGTGGCAATATTTTACCACACACGCCAATATCGGTTCACGATAAGTTCTCAAATTATTTATAATACAACCTATAGCTTAATGCTTAATAATTGCATAGAAGACAAGACATTTAGGTAAACGTAAGTGGTAAGTACAAGGTATAACATTATACATCGTAATTTCTTTATTCAACAGGTAGTTATGTCTTGTGTGCAAATTTCCACACCACCTTTGCACAAAAATGACAACATTGGAATAATGAAGTCCGTTTAAATGCATGAAGTATTACACATGGCGAGTTATTTTTACTGTGGTATCCCCGTTAAGGCCTAATCCACAAGTCCAATGTACAAATAAATTGTCAATTTTATCCACACTTAGTAAATTGCTATTAATGATAAATGGTGGATACATTTTTGTTTTTAATGTATTTATATAAGAATTGTTTAGTAGGTATGTGTTTTGACGAAGACCGTCAAGGTTGACAATAATTAGAAAAATAATAATGTAATGATGGTAAAATTTGCAAAAGTCTGTCCATGATTGAATTGAACATTATGGAATTCGATGATGAAGCTTGATTTTTTTTTATGTGGCGAATTTGTGGATTTAAATTTAAATCAATAGGAAATATTATAATTTATAAGACTTTAATTATTTAAATTATTAAACACACGCACTGGTGAATTTGTATTCAAAATAATTTATTTTAATAGGTAGGTACTGTTAATTGTTTTAAAACATTCATAAAGTTATAAATTTACGAGGGTTCATTATTAAGAACTTCAATTTTTTAATTTTTAATGCTCACATTAGTCACATTGGTGAAAAATGTAACAGTACCTAACAGTAAACCAACTTTAGAATAGTGACAATAAGTATAAACCATTCAAGTAATTTTAAATAAATTAAATTGACACTTCATTTGCAATTATACTGTTGTAAAGTAGCGGCTGTTGTAACGTGTCCGTTCCAGCACTCGAAATTGAATTAGAAATATAATAAAGATACACAAATTTATGTTTACTAAAAGTATTTTTATTAATAACAACAAAACGTCCGTTCTTAACTAAAAGTACATACTCTTGTCGTCTCTCGTATACGACTCTCCCTGACTTTGTTTATGACTTTCCTATTTATGCTAAGCGGAGTCACCTTGTTATATGATGCTCTCCGTACAATCTAGAGGTGTGTTATCTATCATTAGTTTACACCTTTGATCTTTATACAGGCTCCCCTATAATATGTTTTTATAGCAAAGTCATCGAATATCAGTAGATACATAATTATACTATTATTATACATACTAATAATGAGGATTATTACATGGCCTGTAAAAATATATATATTATAAGTTATAGGTTATAACTAAGACCCGGATTTAAATACCCTTAAAACCACACAATTATGCTCTAAAAAAAGCCATAAATGTCCTTAAAAAGCCATATTATATTGTTTGATAATTTTTTTTTTGGCTTCACATTTAACCTAATTAAAATTAAGAACACGAAATACGACCGTGATGTAACACGAACTCACTAATTGTTTGATATTTATCCAAGTACGGGTGACGCTCCACACTCCACAGTCAATAATTAAAATAAAATAAAAATTGAAACAGAGATAGGTTAGTTCTAACTCTGGACAGAAGATATTCCAATTTAAAAAGGGAGAAGACCAACCCTGGGAGGTGGTTAAATGGTTGCCATGGGTTTCAAAGCTATTATAATAATACTTATTGGCTGCCATTGTTTTAAAATTGTTGTTATGGTAACCGTTCTATTATAAAATAAAACATATTATTCGATAGAGTTGGCATTTTTAATGGGATTAGCTAGTATAGAATATTATACAACTCCTACAACTTCCGAGCCCTAATTATAACATTTAAAATACTATCCTCATCATCACCAACTATTTTCATTTATATTTATTATTATGAAATATTTTTAAATCATTAATGCATTATTATTAATTTCATTCTCATTAAGAACTATACTTATAAGTAATAATGCGTAAAAAATTAAAAAATAAAAATTTTCTAACTCTTGCATTTTCTAATTATATAACCAGCGAGATGGGAGAGAACAGTAAAATATGGACTTCCGTACGACCTTTTTTCCATGTGATACGGCGACATTGCAGGAACTTCTTGCGAATTACTTCGACAATTTT